TAATGACGACTATGAAGTTAAAGTGCAGAATATCAGTTTTAGTTCGAGGGTGAACTATGGGCAAGTCATGAGTATTGTTTTAGATAATCTTGCCCCCCAGGATTTCAGACCAAAAGTAATTAACACACTTCGTAAATAAAATTAGTTTAGTTCTTGGTTGGTATTTCTAGCAATACGCTAGCAATATCATTTAAGCTGTAAGTGTGTGCTGGCTATGTTTATATTACAGTAGTAATGCAGTTCTTGTACTAGAGAATGGCTTTCTTGAGCACTTACATAAAGAAAGAAAGATAAATTTGTGTTTCTGTCCTTTACCTAAAAGCGAAGGCTGACATTTGGGCAAAATTGTCATGTTCCAGACTTTTGAAGCATTTTCTATGAGAACTTGAAATGTATTTGGATTTTATGAGTTCACTCAGTAATTATATTCAGGTTATATTTGCAACTGAACACTGATGTTTACTAAAGTTAATTTAGTACTTGGTTACTAGTTGTAGTAAATTGTATGATAGTGATATTTGCTAAAAACGACTGCTGGCTATTTCATATTACAGTAGTGATAAACATTGTCTTACTGCTTAGACTTTGTGCTAATTAGTTCTTGTCAGTGATATTGTGTCCAATCGCATCCTTATGATGTATCTTCACAGAACTTTTGTCAAGTCTTCTAATCAACTGACCATGCCATTGTAAACTGCACAAACAGAGGGCAGAGACATATAGGAGAATATGAAGCTATATAATAAAGGTGTGTTTGTATGCGTGTGACACTTTTACCCAATTCAGTGTGCCACATGTCAACAGAAGCATATGCTCAGAGCTCAGTGGAGGCATCTCACAAAGTTGTGGTTAAGCGAGACCAAGAACCTGGCAGGAGCAAAACGTCCTTTGGCCGAGCTTTGATCACAGAGTGGTTGTGAGGTACCAACAGGTGTGGGGTCGTGAGTGTGCACGCACGCGTGCCTCCGCAGGTATGTCACTTTAGGGAAACGGCTGGGAAGTGTGATTTGCAGGCTGGGGGCTTAGTGTTAGGGGGTGTACCATAAAGGGTTAAAGAGGCTATGCTCTCGCACACCTGTAGCCTGTCAGCTGCTGGGGGGCTGTTAAAACGTCAGCTGTTTCTGAGAACGTTTGTGTGTGCCTGTAAAGTAGCAGAGTGAAATGGTGGTAAGGTAGTGGTGAGGGAGGCACATTTACTTGTGTGTGGGCCACTTCTCAACAACAAAATACCTTTTGAGATCTATTTATTTAACTCCAAAAACCTTTGTCTGTAATAGACACAGCAACAGCTGATGGCCAAGAGATCAGCTCACGCCTACAAAACCATGCAGCTCAATCTCAGTGACTGTAGGGGTCATTCTCTAGAAAGAAGAGAGAATGTAGGCCTATTTAATGTTTGATTTTGTTTTTCTTTTTTTACCCTCTGAAAATGTCAGTGCATGCCTACTAGTAATTGAAATATCATCTACAAACACGTGGACTTCTAGGTTTCTGGGTCATTACCTTTATATTTTCTATTCATGCACCAGTATAGATACTGGTATTCGATATCAGCCCGATGCCATTCTCATTTACTTGTACTCAACCTCATAAAAATGCAGCAATGCTAGCATTTGATACCAGCTGATATAGGGCTGAGCGATAAAACGATAACAGTACTTATCACAATTTAGAAATATAAGAAATGTTTGATAAATGTTTGGTATGGTAGACTATTCTCACATTTTCATGTTCTAGAGACAGTCTCGTTAGCATTTCCACTGTAAGAAAAAAAAAAGCAACTACTCTGTTGTCTTCATGAGAGGGCGCACTTCCGAGTTTTTCGACATGATTTCGCGAGGGAGGGTGTGGGGACTAAAATGGGTCGCAAAATATACTTTGGCGGGCTTTGAAATAAACATACAACATCTATGTGTGGAAAACGCTGGCCAGTGTTTTACACTTTTAAGAGGCAGTACTTACGTGGGTAGTCAGCATGTCGCAGAGACAGACAGGGTACACAAAAACATGGGATGTAAATGTCTGAAACGTGGGGTTATACCTTCCCTGTTTGAGTAGAGCGAATGGTGATCTGTTCTGTGACCAAGTGTGAGTGACAAGGTAAGTGGCATGTCCCTGTACTGGCCCAGAGTGAACTCCATTCTATCCTAACATCCTAACAAGCTTTAGTAGTGTTAAATCACATCTGCTCTACATAACTACAGCCGAAATGGTCTGTGAGTTACAGCGCTCAACAGTCATATTTTAGTGCAAGTGCATTCCCAAGCAACAAAAGTGAAAGAAAGAAGTGGGTTCATACTACAGCTCTGATTTAAACGAAAGGATGCTGTATGTGTGGCATGGGAGAGTGGAAAAAAGCTAGCTTCCCAGGCTAGCTGTTTTTTAGCAGCTGGTTTACACGATGCAGCGCTCTGTCACTTTCACAGCACAGCCAAATTGATGTTATTGTACTGAACTACAGTGATCAAATAAGACAAAAAACACTGATTTCAATTTAAACACACCTAAAAGAAGGACGTTGTTTGTGTGGGGCGGGAGAATCACACTGCAGCTAACGCACCGAGGTCCATCTTTTACACAGCGAGTGTCAGATATATTGTGGTTCTTCCACCTCTCAAACTGCTATGACAAAATAGAGAAATCCAAATGTCTCCTAGCTTGTGTTTAAATACTGTGATAGGCAATGTGATCCATCATTGACATACCAAGCTAGCAAATGTTTGTTGTTCATACTAAGCTGATGTTGTTGAGAAACTCAACAGTTTAGCACCGGTAACCAGATAGATTAGCACTCGTCACCAGACAGCTACAAAAATTATGAATATTACAAAAATCGTGGCCGTTCTGTGTGTGTGAGAGTGCTGCTTTAGCCAGCTGGTTAAAAACAGCTAACCAGAGAAACCGTCTTTCTCCCATCATCCACTGACAGATATGTGGAATGTTCCACTATTAGGCCAGTATTTTGTCATACCATAATACCATAATACATACTCCTTGTCTGACCATAAGGAGTAATTTAAGACCACAATTATCCATCTGGTTTCTCCAGCAAAAGTCAGCCTTTAAATTTTAAAGAAATAATGATTTGACATTTATTGTGGTAATTATTGCTTACTGTTACGAAATTTTTTTATCATGATAATGTTTTTGGGCCATATCGCCCAGCCCTAAGCTGATACCATGAGACATAAGCCTAGTTAGTGTACGCTGCAGAGAACAAACCACTCAAGCTAGCAGCGAGGGGTGTCTGCACGCAGAGAAGTGTTGCTGACTCAGTGGAGGTCGAACACAAAATCGGTGGTCACTTTAGACATTCTGCCTTGGCAAGTTGCTGCCGGGAATACACTGTGTGATTTTACCCTGTTTTTAAGCATACAAAAACACAATCACAACCACTTTCCCAATATGGGTGGAGACACGTAGGATAGCAAAACAGAGGCAAAAAAAGTCATTTGCTACCAAAGTCTGTATACGCCAACTTTACTCTGTACAGCTGTACAGAAGCTTTTTTCTGACGTGGAACAAAACCCGCTGTTCTCCACTGTAGTACTACTCGATCCATTTTAGCTAATGTAACATAGCAGTGCATTTCATTTAAAGTCTACTAGATTTTAATAATTTATTTGTTAAGGTAAATTGTACCCGTTTACACTAACAACTACTTAATTCTAATTAGGTAATTCATTATGGTATCAGACTTTGTATCGGCGACTACTAAAAAACATGTTCTCATACTCCTACTTGGTCTATTGTATCGATGCGTCCCTAATATTTTTATACTAATGTCTAAATGGTATACACAAAGAAGCAAGAGAGCATAGTGCCCACCTTCCTCTCAAAGCCTTGCTTCTCTATAGGCCGTCTGTACCCTACCAGCTCCGGTACGGCCAACATGTCGCCCGGAAGAGAAGCACACACAATCACACACAGATCCCCTTATTAGGCTCTGAGCCAGCACAGTGTGGAAAACATGGAGAGCTTCAGCTTTGAGAGAGAGAGAGAGAGAATGAGAGAGCGCTTCTTAACTATTACCAAACGATGTTTGTTTTGCTAGTAATTGTGACCTCAGATTTTTGGCTTGCTGTTGTTGTGTTTTAGACCTCTTGTATATTTGTTCCCACCGCTGGCAGATTTCCGACTCGATACTGGGAGAGAGGACACCCCCCTTTTCTAGAACTTCTCCATATAAGTTATGCTTTGCGAGAAAATTGCTCCTCAGACTGTGTACTGTTCATTTAACTCTTAGCATTCACAATGCCAAATCACATGTTTCGTGCACAGGAAGAAACTGTCTGTCCTTCTGCAGTGACACAAGTGTTAAACAAACTCAGGGCCTTCGAATTCCCATACCCCTCAAAGCCCTTAGAGGTTTCAAGGTCAGAAAAGGTCAGAGCTTGCGAATCTCTCTTTGGAAAGCATTGGTGCTCTTTAAATGCACTTCAGTGTTATTCATGAACTATGTTTTTCTAAATAATTTTGTACCATGTGTAGCTTACTATTATCAAACAGTATTTCAGAGTTCAGGACAGGAAAGAATACAGTCTTATACTGAATACAGGAATATAGGACGTACACAGAGCCTTGTTGTATTGTACCTCCAAACTGTTTACACCATCTTCATAAGTATTAAAAGTATAGGAATACAAAGGTTATGGTTGGGCACATTTGGAGAGACTGTTAATGACATGTAACACTACTAGATGCGGAGTTAAAGCTCCTAACATATGTGAGGGGAAATAAAGAGCATGGGGGAGTTAGGACAAAAGGTGTGTAGGCAGCTGCTGCTGCTTTCACATCTACACACACAGAGACGTATAGGCTGGGGGATCTGACACACTGCTTTACTGTGAACCCAGCACTAACACCCAACCACCCTCTCAGTTACCAGCAAGGACACTGATGAATTGGAGCCAGTTGCTGAAGGCATATAAGGGCAAAGGGTGGGGAGGTGGGGGCTGGGTTGAGAGAGAGGAAAACTGATCGAGGTCCTTGCATTACAGGGTCATCGCTGGACTAGTCACTTCTGTCACACAGCCATAGCACACAGAACAGGACATAGGACACATCTCATTCTATGTCCATGAGGATATTGTTGATTCATTCATTTGCTCATGATTCCGTACCATTGGCTAGACTCGGGATACATGCGACTGTGACCATCAGAGAGGTTCAAGAAGAAAAGGTAAGAAAAAAAGACCACCGGAACCGGCAGCTTAAGGTCTTAATGATGTTGCCTAAAGTTTAGGCCTGTCATTTTTTGTGGTTGGTCTTTGTCAGTCAAAGAACTACTAGGTGATCTCATTTGAGATTTTTTTTTTGGTGGATTTTCTTGAACCATTTGAAAAAATGGTACTAATAAGGGATTTTTATATGTCAACTTTAGTGTAGTTGGAGTTTAGCTGTATTTGAACACCATGCATTTCTGTGATATAATGTCAGTTTAAGAAGCTTTGGTGAGTTTGTTGAAATGTGTGCCTGCTGCACCTCTGCAAAGTTTTCTTTCCTGCAATAATTCTAGGCCCTGGTCTGTTAGACTTGTCAGATTGAAGATTTTATCCTTTCTCTAGTATTTCTTTCTCCCTATCAACTAATTATGGCTGTATAAATGTTAGTTACACTAGATCTTCCCTGTCTTTGTATACAAATTAAAACTCAAACTGAACAGTAATTTAAATGAGGATTTTTTTTTGGTAAGATCAGGAAAATATCACAGAATGTGGCTTGTGTAGGCTTTATGCAGATTACAGTGGCTGCTTTGCTGTGTGTGGCCTATTGGAGATCTGTTTCGCAGCTGTTGGCTTGCAAATCAATGGATAATTGCAAAGGGAGGGCTTTTGATTGACATCCCAGGTGGAATGGGCTGTAGACTGTGTTGCCTGCTATCCAGCACTTTTGCTTAATAGAGCCTTGCATACAGTTGCTCATAAAGGCCACGGAAGCAGTGCTAGTTGCTTCAGCGGAGGTTTTTCTATATTTCTTTAGTGCTCTTAAGGGAAAATAAGGTGCTTCAGAAAGATAATTCAAGGTTGCTACTAAGAGGGAGTCTGCATTTATTAGGCTCTTGACATTGTTGTCTGTTTCAAAGCTCCACTTGCTTGTTAGATTTTCTCTGATGTATGAGATGTTATTGGAAAATGGCACTTCATTTCATTCTTCCTGTTAGCCTAGATTGTAAACACTGTAGAAGTTTATTGATAAATGATAGAAATTTCAAGCGTATCTGTGTCTAAGCTGGTTGTTGAACCTCTTTTGTGCGTCAGTCCAGTTGACATGGTGAAGAGTTTTTAATACACCTGTGTTTCCAAAAGTCACGCTGATGTCATCGCTGTGTGTCCAAAATGTGTATTCCCCTTTTTTGCCTGACCCCTTCTGATCGTCTTGGGGTGGAGAGAGGTGATAGATAATTTAACTGTTAACTTTTGGCTTATCCCTTCATGGTTGTGTCTTTATAGTGATACTTGTATGATGATTAGCCTTGCCTCAATGTTGTCAACTGACCGGTCAGACCACATTACCCACACTGATGGTGAGATAGATAGTCCAGTGTCAACTGCATACTGCAGTCACACAACAGTACTTGTTTGTCATTGTGTTTGGTTTGTGAAACGATGTGCCAGTAAGAAAGTTATCGGCCCATGCCAGTGAGAAAGTTATCGGCCCATGCCAGTAACCAGCATTTCTGGGTCCCTACGAGCAGTTACTGGCATTAATAAACATAACCAATATCATTGCAAATCAACCTTAAATGTTCTTCAAATATAATATGTATATTAACACTACAGTTCAAAAGTAATAGAAAAAACAGTTTGGCTACAGACATGTGTAGAATGATTGTCATATGTTAGTCCTGTGGAGTTTTACAGGTATTACATCATTAGTAGGACACTAGGAAGCTGTAAATAAAAACGAAGAATTTTAGATGTGTCCAGAATGATGAACAGAGCCGCAGAGGATTATAAAATGATTGAGAAATCTTTATAGTATAGAGAATGAAGTAAAATGAAATTAAAATCCAGAAGTGATTATATTTTAAAAATGGAGATCAAATCTCAAGGCAGATAATGTGAAAATAAAATTAAATAAATAATTTGTGTATTATTTATCTTTGAATAACTTTTTTTTTTCAAAATATTGCATTAAATCAAAAAATACGTTTTGGTGGATAGTTTGTAATATTTAAATCCACATTTTAAAAGTCATATATAAATTGTTAATATGCCATTTGATTTTAAACTTGTGGACAGTAGTGTATATCTATATGAACTTGGAACTATCAAAATGGAAATTTTAAACTGCTATACGACTGATATGGTATTCACATCGTAGACCATCTACACGTTGTCCACTTCCACATTTATTGAAGTTCTTGTCCAAAACAAGACGAACTGTACCTGGTGATCTCCTGTAAATTTATTTAGTGAAGTCAAGTTAATGGTGGCTGCCTGAACATTGCAGTTTGCTTGTCAACTCTTCTGAAAGGTTGAACAGTAGCAGGTGAGAATCACAGATCCCCTCCAACACCGCAAACCCCCACCCTCCTGACTCTGTCTGCCCTGCCAGGAGAAATACTGCCCTTGAATTGCAACCCCCCTCCCCCCACCCTGCTTTTGGCATCAGGTTTCTGATATGATTTGATTTGTTAGCTCCCCTGGTCTATGTCCTGGAGGATAAACCCATTGTCCTGACCGTTCCGCACCAATATGTTATAGAATCTCCATACACAAAACAGAGCAAGTACGTATATGTTGGAAAACCACAATCACCATACACTAGGGTCAGCAGCTGAGTGGCCATGTTGGAGCAAGCAAGTGCCTGCCGGTCAGAGAGCATGAGGCAACAGGCTGGAAATATCCTGCAGTTGGTGCTGGCAGTACAACCCAAGGTTGGAGTAAATCACTGGAGATAGTCCCGTCGGTCATTGCAAGCGCCATCACTGCCCCAGTTAGGCTAGAGTGAGGGTTTGTAGAGCGGCCAGTTCAGACAAGCCCAAGAGTGTGTGGGTGTTCTCTCATCGGGATTGTTCTTTTTAGGGCTGAAATGATCAAATGGTTTCATTTTTGTATATGTGATCGAGTGATATCGTAAACATTTGAATATACCATTAGGTTAAGAAACGTTCAAGATGCGCTTCATTTTAATGCCTGAAAGAACAAACATTTTAAAATGTGTTTATTATTACTGTCAATTAGCTTTTTGTACCATTGGATAACTTGCATTAATTCTATTGTGTTTTCATTACTTTGTATATAAATTAGAATTATAGGACTGCGCAATAATTTGAATTGTATTGTTATTAGCAGATAATAATAATAGGAATTTAAAGAAATTATTATTATTATTATTATTATTATTATTATCATAATCATTGGACAGATGTTTAGATTTGAATGATATATTTCAAACTTTGAAATATTTAATGATGTATTACTTGAACCCCCAAAGAATAGAAAGTTTTTAGTGTTGCATTTTATTTATTTTACATACATAAATGTTATATTTTTCTGCAAATGTAATCCAGGTAGATGAAGATAGAGTCCCACTTTCTACTTTTTATAAATGTTTGTGTTGAGCATTTCCACTGGCAGATGTGTACATGAAAAATCTCAGATATCGGTGTTGGCCCCAAATTCCTGTATCACTAGAGTGAAATGTCTAATCCAAGGGATTCCGCCTAGCCTGGTTCTCTTTAAATGCCTTCACAATGCCGGAGAGCAGAGGAAATAGCATCTTTTTAAACTTTGCCTTAGAAAAAAAAATATATATGTGTAAATCTCAGTACTTTCTAGCAGATCAAACACCAAACTTGGTAGTATCAATCTTAACATCAGGTACAGTCTGATTAAGTCTGACTGGTAGATATTTGTTTAAAAAATAATCGCCATCGGACAGATGTTTAGATTTGACAAATGATTCAAACCAGTGTTTAATGATGTATTTATTTTACTCTGGAAGAGCAGAATGTTTAGACAGTGCTGTGCTATGGTGCTAACGTCCGCACTTTATTCATTTTACTGCATTTGTAACTTTATGTAAATAAACGGCATCGTTCTTTGAAATGCTGAACCAGGTAGATGTAGTTCCAATTTCTACATTTTATAAACGTGTGCATTGCCATCGGTATGGCATTGGCAGAGATAGACATGAAAAATATCTGATCAGTATTGGCGCACCAATTCCATATTAGTGCATCCCTACAAAATACCATATTAAATGTTAAGTATTGCTACATTTTGTGGTTGTGTAACCATGTGACATGGTAAAGCGAGGCTGCTCATCTGGAGATGAGTGAGCTTGGTCTGGGTGTTTACAGCACACAAAGAGCTCATTTGCACACTATATTTTGCAAGTCTAATGTTGCCAGTTTTCAATATAAGTTTGGATTGGCCATGAAATCTTGCATCCAGTGTTGCCCTAGCACTGTTGTTAAGATGTTTATTGTATTTATATATTTATTTTTGCTTTCATATTTTCTTTCTCGTCCATGTAGATATGATCACAGACTCGGGATCAGCACTGTTTTCCGGAAACACATGATGAATCTGGCCCAGTGTTAGCAGAACTTTCTGTAGCTAAGCCCATTATCAGTTCAGATAAGAACATTCTGATGCCTTTGTTGTGGTATCTTCGTTTTTTCAGAAAGTCATTTTGCCAATTTTGCTCTCATTTTCATTTATTTATTTATTTATTTATTTGTAGTTACGCCAGTAATAAAAAAAATGTAATCTCATTATCACACAGCCATATCCAGGGTGACAACACAAGATTTCCAATCTTTCCTATAAAGAATATTTAGGTATGCATTTACCCTTCATGCACTACTGTTTCCCTCAGTGTTTTGACTGTTTTATTGGCCGCAGGGTTCTGGCACCATATGGCCGTGGATCACTGGTAGTGACCATGACCGGAGCTGTGGTCTCGATGCTCTGTGTAAAGCGTCAGTTTTGTAAACAGTTGAATTAAACAATTGACAGCTGTGCTGTGTAGGACACCGGGGTCCTGTGCTGACCTGGAAAGGTGATAGATTTCTCTGTGCTACTTTGGCCTGAGTCCAGTCTCTGTCCAGTCATTGGCTCTTATCTCTGAGCACCCGGCTTCTCTGCCTCTAGTTACAGGCAGAGATGACAAAACTGGACTCCCTCTCTCACACCCTGCAGAGGAGATATGCTTACATGTGCTCACACA